CATGGCAGTCCAAGATAGCATGATACGGGGATAACCAGTCCATCCCCAATATAATATCGAAGTCGACCATATCTAAAAGCAACAAGTCAACACGGGTCTCAAGACCCCCAATCACCACAACACAAGAACGATGAACTCGATCAACCACAATAGAATCACCCACCGGTGTAGATACATAAACAGGAATACTCAGTGGATCACTAGGCATGACCAGGTACGGTGCAAAATAAGAGGACACATACGAATACGTAGACCCTGGATCAAATAGCACTGAAGCATCTCTATCACAAACCAGAATAGTACCTATAATGACTGCATCTGAAGACTCTGCCTTTGGCCGGGCCTGTAGAGCATAACATCGAGGCTGGGCCCCACCACTCTGATCTACCTCTCTGGGACGGCCTGCTGCTGGCTGGCTTCCACCTCTGGCGGTTTGAGCTCCACCTCTATGACCTCTACCTCCACCTCTGGCACCTCTACCCCCACCTCTAGCTGGCTGGGCGGGCTGTGGAGCACCTGGTGCCTGAACCATGGCACGAGAACCCTGGTGCTGAGAACTGCTCGGTGCTCGAGGGCAAAATCTGGCAATATGACCCGTGTTACCACAAGTGTAACAAGCCCTCGGCTGTTGAGTCTGCTGGCCTTGTCGACCTGAATGACCACCACGGAAACTCTGAAGCGGCGGTGCGCTGGTAGGGGTTGGTGGTGCACTGAATGGCTGCTGATCATAATAGTGTGCATGAGAACCACGGCCGCCTGGGGCACCCTGAGAAACCTGGAGGGCTGACTGGAAAGGCCTAGAAGGCTGACCCCTATCATATGAATCTCTGCCTCCAGATGAGGCACCACTGAATCGACCTGACTGACGGGGTCTCTTGTCTGCTCTATGACCACCCCCTGTGGCAATACCATCTCGATCCTCCGGGACACATTGGCCGCCTCCTGAAAAGTGATATCACTCCCCGCCTCTCTAGCCATCTTGAGACGAATAGGCTGAATGAGTCCATCAATAAACCGTCTCACTCTCTCCCTTCAGTGGGGAGTATGACAATAGCATGACGAGCCAACTCAAAAAACCTGGTCTCGTACTGGGTGACTGACATGGATCCCTGATGGAGACGCTCGAACTGCCTCCGATAGGCCTCACGCTGTGTGACAGGGAGAAACTTCTCCAGAAATGTATGCGTGAACTGCTCCCAGGTCAAGGCTGGAGACCCTGCTGGTCTAGCTAAACAGAAACCCCTCCACCAAGTCTTGGCGGATCCAGATAGGAAAAATGCAGCGAAATCAACTCCATTGGACTCAATAATACCCATGTTCCGAAGAACCTCGTAGCAGCTGTCCAAATAATCCTGAGGATCCTCGGTG